TGTTGTTATGCTGGATGCATAAATCCAATCCCTGGACCTTTATCTAAACTTCTATCTTCTAAGCTTATGACAAAGCTTCAAACATTCAGTGTAATTATGATGACTAAAACACTTTCTAAGAAGGCTTGCTGATACGAAGCAATTTTAGGGTGTACTCTACATGAATTTGCTGTAACTATCTGCCTTTTTCAAACTGCTATCACCTCTGCTGGTCCTTACTAAACTAGGTATGATTTTTCTAAATCAAATCATAGGATGATATAATATTTTCTGCTGACTGAATCAATGCCTTTTGATTCAAATTTGGCAGGAGCTTAAATTATCATGTATTAGATATATGGTCTGGCAAAAAACTTCATTTAAAATGCAGTGAATTGAATTATAATATTTCATTTGGAGGCACCCAAATAAATTCAATCCAGAATGGTAATACAGAATACTGAATGTTTCAGACATTTTTCATCTATGTGTAATTCTCCCGTGAAACTTTGTAAAGATGATATATTAATCCTGCATTGCTGTAGTACAGCACAAAGTGACTGACTTCTGTTTTTTAAAAAGAAAAGAACAGTATTCTGTATAGAGATATAACAATTGTTCAACAGTGGCTGTAGCAAGTACTGGTTTTCCATTTTGTCAAAGCAATAAATAACATTTCAGGGCAATTATTTAAAACTTCAGGTGAGTAGCCATCTGTCCTGTTATCTTTCCTGTTTAAATCTTTTTAAGCTAATTGAACTTTTTAATGCATAAAAATTGCCCGTTTTTATATTGTTCTGAAGAGAGCCAGGCCAAACGTGAGAAATAAAAAAGATGTTTCAAGATGATAATATATATTCTTTAGAGTCTGCAGACTTGCTGAATGAGATTTTACCATGTTCATAATTTCTGTGCTGAAGGTATTCTGCAATACAAACCTTCCGGTGATGCTATAGGTTTTCTAATAAATTTGTCACCTGCCATAACTTGTTTCTATTTGTCAGTAACCTATATTGTACTCATCTTAATTTTGAATTCATTCAAAGGTTTAGAATTTTAAAGCAACTATTTAACTAAAGATTCCATTGTCTACTTCATAATTCACCCAATTTGTTAGCTACTGTTTATTCTACCAGGGGACACATTGGGGTGCTTATCTTAGCAGTATGGTGCAGTCATCTTATATACATAGACATTGGAAAGGAAAATAGCTTCTGCCTGTTGTAATAGCATTCTTGCTATCCATTCTTAAGAGCCAGCTTTTTGGAAATGCTATTATTGCCGGAGAAACTCAAAATCTTGCTCACACCACCATTGTACTTTCTTTTTCTGGACTTTTTGTTTCCAATTGAATCGTAAGTGTGATTCAAATGTTAATAACGTCATTTCCAATTTGCTCTTTAAGTATGTGATCAATGCCTATGTTTAGTTGATCCAGTACCTGATACTGCTTGGGATATATAATTTTGTTGAAGAATGAGATAATATTGCTTGAAACAAATAATTACACTAAGCCAAACATTTCCTACACTGTTTCTGCTTTAACTTTATACTCTAGCTATATAAGTATTGTTTCCTATAAAAGTATGAAAAGCTCTGAGGTATTCAGTCAAGAAACTTACCTAGTTTAGTACCTGTTTCCTATAGTGGTCAATCAATTGTATAAAATTTAGTGGCAGATATAAAAACAACAAATGTTGATCACTGTCAATTAAGTGCTGGCATTCTGAAGTGCTGCCTCTCACAATTTAGTTTTTATCAGATGCTACGACTATTATAATATTCTGAACAGTATATTGAATATGCCAATGTATTTGTTTTTTATGCAATCATAGCACTAGAATGCAGAAATGAAGGCAAAAAATCCAGTATCTTCCAGAATTAAAATACCCCTCTCCTAGTGTTAAGGCTAATGAAAGGCTTATGCAAATAATCCAAAACACCTGAATACTACAAGTTGTCCCTAGTTATCATAATGCTTAAGTAAAAATTGATTTTTCTTATAAACCTGTACCTTGCAGTTCTAGGTTTCTTCTTCAAAGTCAGTTTTGGATTTTTGTCTTTTTAAAAAGGTGTCCTTCAATGATTTGGTTACATCACTACTCGTTCCCAAATTCATGTGGAAGCTAAGTAGCTGGATAGGTCCATTTACATGCAGAACTAGCACATTTGCAGTCGGTGATCCAGGTCTCAACACATGAATTGGGAAATTTTACATTTATGTTGTAGCATCTACTTAATTACTCAGTCTACGTGTTCATTGCTTTCTTGGTAGAAGCTACTCCAATTCCTTTTCAGCAGGTCTTGTGTATTGTTCCAATAGAAGAGAATATAAGTAGCTCAGGGTTGAACTATGGACTCCTTGGTGCTCTCTGAGCTTCATTGTTTGCCAGTAGACATTTCATTGATTATTACTAGCACTGATAATAACTAGTGTGGTAATGAAACTTCTCAAGAAAACAACCAAACTTAGCAAGCATCAAGGATTCCACTCACATATTGTGTTTTTCCAGCAGCTTATGTAGAACAGGCTGGAGTACTTTTAAGGACAAGATATTTTTTAAAAGATCTATCCTTTTATAATATATGCCAATCTCTTGTGTCTATGAATAACAATAAACCCTTTGCACCTTGATTTAAAAATAAATGTTATTAAATTCAGGGTAAATAGGGTAAATTGACTGAAGGGACAAGAATAAGTCCTTAAAATCCCAGCTATTAACCTGGAGGCAGGGAGAGGATGGGTCCAAAAAAGATACTGAAGACTTTTACAAATGAATGGTATATTTAATCTGTTCACCTGAGCTTTTTAAGAATCCTATGCATGTGGAAGGATGACAGAAGGATCATTTTTAAGAGTTCTTGTAACAGATATAAACAAAGTAATATAGTAACTCTGGAATTTATACCTAACTGAGCAGCAAGGCTAGGTCCACAAAATTGTAATGACCTTGGTGGCCACACGATGTCTCTCAGGTGCAGAAATAGAAAAAATGCATATACATCCTGGTGGTTATCATGAATAGACAAATCTGCTGAAAGATGAATGATGAAATTATAAATAATAACAGATGCACAGTTAATTTGATTAGTTTATTTTTAAGACTTGCAGGCTTTTTTTTTCAGAAGAGCTCTAAGGCAGCATGGAAATAAAAACAGAAAAATAAACACCCCAAAGCCTAGATTTATATTTAAAATTAAATATAAAATCCTCAAGTATTAATAAGTGGTCCTGTGAATTTCAATACAACTCAGAAGGAATGCCATTACCAAGATAATCTGAAGGTCATATCTACAAGCAGCAGAACCTTCCTAATAGATGTCATCTACATGTTGGTTAATAGTAAGATCACTCCCCTTTTAATTACTTGGAGGCTAAAATCATGAGGGTTTTATAAATTTGACATGTTGCATGACCCCAGTAGCTCAGTAAAATTTAAAAGAAAATTTTAGAACTGATACTCTGCAGTTGCATTTATGGGAACTGTAATCCAGTATATCTGGAAGGTGTCAGGCTGTGGAAAGCCATTTCTACAATGTTTCAAGAACTCTAGTAGTAGTAGTAATAGCAACAGCAACAACAACAATATAATAACAACAATAATAATAATAAAGTTGGAAGGGACCTTGGAGGTCTTCTAGTCCAACCCCCTACTCAGGCAGGAAACCCTATACCATTTCAGACAAATGGCTGTCCAATCTCTTCTTTAAAACTTCCAGTGTTAGAGCATTCACAACTTCTGGTGGCAGGTTGTTCCACTGATTAATTGTTCTAACTGTCAGGAAATTTTTCCTTAGTTCTAGGTTGCTTCTCTCTTTGATTAGTTTCCACCCGTTGCTTCTTGTCCTGCCTTCAGGTCCTTTGGAAAATAGCTTGACTCCCTCTTCTTTGTGGCACCCCCTGAGTTACTCAACAAAAGTAAATATGCTGTCTCAGCAAGGCATCTTTTAAGTTCCAGTCTGGTGTTAGCCTCTGCAAGTCTCTACTATTAAGACTTAGGAAATGTAATTGCACAGGAAGTCAAGATAAC